ATAAATTAGTTTGATGACACCACTTAGTATTCCATAACTTGCATAGTTATTGATTGTAAATTGTATAACCTCCAAGTAAAAGTTGCTGTTGAAACACACTTTTCCCATTTTGGGAAATTTGTGTGATGTAATTAAGGGATTTGGTAGTTTCCTGATTCTAGGGTGATTAATTCTTATTTGTATTCCAAGATTAGGAGATTTCCTGTTTTATTTCTTTCCTAGTTTAGTCTCTACAATTGTAAATAAATACATGTAAACAGCCCTATTGTAATACAATTTTAGATCGATATTTTTTTTTTCTAAGATGGTATCAGAGCTTTAGGCACTATTTCTGGGAATTCTTCTGTTGTTTGTCAATCTATTCTGTCAGAATTTCTTTTTCGTCCTCTTTCTGGTCTCAGCCCACATTTTTTTTCCTTCTCTCTTGTTCTCTGTCCTTCTTGAATCATGTCTAAAAACACTGAAATAAGCCACATGTCTGGATCTCAAATAACCGAGACCTAGACCACTGAAAACATCCACTCAGCCATTGGAGAATTGCCTAATATCCAGTCGGTGTATAGACTAAATGGGAGGAATTATTTGAAGTGGTCCCAACTTGTGCGGACACACTTGAGGGGCAGAGGCAAATTGAGTCATCTGCTTGACCGGTCCTGAGAAGGGAGATCCAAAATTTGATGCGTGGGATGAGGAGGATTTGATGGTGATGTCCTGGCTTTGGAATTCTGTGTCACCAGAAATAAGTGATACATGCATGTTCCTTGATACTGCCAAGGAGATTTAGGAGGCCGTCAAACAAACGTATTCGAAGGTTCGCGATGCCGCACAAATCTATGAGATCAAGACTAAGATTGCTGCCACCAAACAGGGAAATCGAACAGTTACTAAATATTCCAATCTCTTGTAAAGTCTTTGGCAAGAGATGGATCATTGTCAATGCATCGAGATGAAGTGTAGTGAAGACGCAGCCACACTTAAGAGGTTTGTTGAAAAGGACAGAATCTATGATTTTTTGGCCGGGCTTAATATGGAGTTTGATGCAGTACGAGTTCACGTTCTTGGCAAGGAGGACCTACCTTCTCTAAATGAGACAATTTCCATAATCCGTGCAGAAGAAGGAAGAAGAGGAGTTATGGTCGAGAATATTTCTATTGAAAGCTCAGTGTTGGTGTCAAAAGCAACAAGTGAGAAGAAGGCTATGTTAGAGCAGCCTTTCACCGAAGAAAACAAATAGCTAGAACAGCCAAAGGTGTTTAACAAAGACAATCTTTGGTGCACTTACTGCAAAAGGCCTCGTCACACCAAAGAAAGGTGTTGGAATCTTCATGGCAGGCCACAGGGAGCATGAAGGAACGGACAAGGGAGAGGACAAGGTCAGGCTCATATGGCTAGAGTACAATCAATCGAAGTTAACAACAAATCAGAGACACCTCTTGAGTTCAACAAAGATGAGATTGAGAGATTAAAGAATTTTTTGGGGTCACTAGAGAAGCAATCACCTCGGCAGGTACTTTAATTTGGCCCTTTCAAGTATATCTTCTTTTTCCCATGCTCTTAATGCTTCAAATAAGGTTACACATAATACTTGGATCATCGACTCAGGAGCCACATACCATATGACCTCTTCATCTACAAAATTTATCTCACACACACCCTGTCCTAGTAATAGATATCATTCATGGAAGATAAGGATAAAGACGCTTTTCTTCTTGAGTTGCCTGCTTCTTTTTCTAACTCGTCCTCTGTTCAGCCTGAGTCCGTCCCTATCCAATCTAAGTCTGACATGCCTTCTACACCCATAGCACAGAAAATAAATCACACTCGTCTCGAGCCGTTTGATAAGGTTTATTCAAGGAGGAAAGGACCGTTCTTTCAACTGATGCTGGAACATCATCTGATTCAAACTCGGCGACTGTTGAGGTATGTTCTCCAACCACTTCTAATTCCAAAGTTCCAGATACAACCACTTTTTCTGATTCCAAAGTTCCAGATACCCAAGAACAAAATGATCTTGACATCCCTATAGCCCTCAGGAAAGGAACTAGGACTTGTACCAAACACCCCTTGTACCTTTTCATGTCATACAACAACTTATCCCATAACCATGGAGCCTTTCTCACCAGCCTTAACAATATTGCCATTCCCAAAACACTATCCGAGGCACTAGGAGATGAGACTTGGAGGAATGCCATGAAAGTAGAGATGGAGGCTCTAGAGAAGAACAAGACATGGGATTTGGTGAGATTGCCAGAGGGAAAGAAACCTGTTGGGTGTAGATGGGTCTTTAATGTGAAGTATAAGTCCGATGGCTCACTTGAGAGGTATAAAGCGAGGTTAGTTGCCAAAGGTTATACTCAAATCTATGGCATAGATTATCTTGAGACATTTGCTCCAGTTGCAAAGATGAACACCGTGAGAGTGTTATTGTCATTGGTAGGCAACTTTGGATGGTGATTACAACAATTTGATGTCAAGAATGCCTTCCTACACGGCGACCTAGAAGAAGAAATCTACATGGAGGTCCCTCCAGGGTTCGACCCTACAAATGGAGAACAGGTAGCATGTAGATTGAGAAAGGCATTGTATGGGCTCAAACAATCCTCCAGGGCTTGGTTTGGAAGGTTTACCAAAGTTATGCTAAGCCTTGGATTTAAGCAGAGTCAAGGCTATCATACCTTGTTTGTGAGACATTCAGCTTCAGGGGGAGTCACAGCGTTGTTGGTGTATGTAGATAACATCATAGTGACTGGAGATGATATGGAAGGAATTAAAAGATTAAAGGAATGTTTGGTGAAAGAGTTCGAGATCAAAGACCTTGGTAAGCTGAAGTATTTTCTCGGTATAGAAGTGGCTCACTCTCGGCAAAGGATTTTCATATCTCAACAAAAGTATGTGATTAATCTTCTAAAGGAGACTGGTAAACTGGGGTGTAAACCGGTTGACACACCCATAGAGTCCAACCACAAGCTGAGTGAGGTTCCAGAAGATGCAACAGTTGATAAAGGTAGTTATCTGAGGCTTGTTGGGAAATTGATTTATCTAACACACAAGACTATACATAGCATATGTTGTTAGTGTGGTGAGCCAATTTATGCATAATCCCAAAAAGACTCATCTCAGGGCAGTGAATAGAATCCTATAGTACTTAAAAGGTTCACCTGGTAAGGGGATTTTGTTTAAACAAGGAGAAGGATTAAGTCTTGAAGCTTATACCGATGTCGATTATGCATGATCAGTTAATGATAGAAGATCCACCTCAGGGTATTATACGTTCTTGGGTGGAAATCTTGTTACATGGAGGAGTAAAAAACAGAGTGCAGTGGCAAGGTCGAGTGCAGAAGTGGAATGCATGTCAATGGCGCTTGGAATTTGTGAACTCCTATGGTTGAAGATAATTTTGAAGGATTTGAAGATTAAGGTGGAAAGTCCAATGAGATTGTATTGTGATAATAAATTAGCCATCAATATAACACACAATCCGGTACATGACGGCACGAAGCATATAGAAATTGACAGGCATTTTATAAAGGAGAAAATGGATAGTGGCTTGATTTGCACTCCGTTCATCTCTACAGGGAACCAGCTCACAGATGTTCTTACAAAGGGACTTCCTAGTACAGTTTTCTAGAATTTAGTTGACAAGCTTGGAATGGATGATATCCATTCATCAGCTTAAGGGGGAGTGTTGAAACACGCTTTTCCTATTTTGCGAAATCTGTGCGCTGTAATTAAGGGATTTGGTAGTTTCCTGATTCTAGGGTAATTAATTCTAATTTGTATTCCAAAATTCGGAGATTTCTTGTTTTATTTCTTTCCTAGTTTAGTCTCTACAATTGTAAGTAAATACATGTAAACAACCCTGTTGTAATACAATTTCAAGTCGACATTTTTTTTTCTACGAGTTGTATTAGCATTTCATAGCCCCCATTGATATTCTCTAACCTATGAAACTTATGTTCTCTCCCCTTACCCAATCTTGGCCTATAAATAGAGTTTGTATGAGTGCGTATCGGTCACCCCTCACGAGTGAAAAGAAAGAATAGAAGATCACTTTGTTTTTTTGTATTTTTCTTGTTTTTTTCTCTTCAGTTTCTTGGAGTATTTTAGTTTTTTGCAATTTGTTTTATTAATGATTGATAATGATAAAATTCTTTGAAAATATTGACTTAGGTTTTGAGATAACAATGACTAGTTATTATAATAGCTTATAACCCCTGGACTAGAAGAGTAACGCTCAGATTGTCTAGATAATTAATCATACGTAGAAACAAACTACAATTAATTGTAGCTAGATAAACTAAGTCTTGTAGCTAGATAAACTAAGTCTTTTTGACTGTTGAATTTTCTTTTCCTTGTTATTTTTTTTTAATCTATTCTGGATCAGTGCTCAGGTTTATCAATGGAAGTATGATATTTCTTTTTTAATTAATTCACTTTTGTAGGAAGAACCAATTCATCTCTGGTTATTTGAAACAATCGAATTGATTTTCATCTTTGTTTTTTAACTTATGATAGTTTCTTTTGAGAACTGGTCAATAGTTATATTCAATCCCCGATTCCTCAGTCCCTATATCATATTCAATTTCTTGTGACTCTGCTCTAAAATTCCCAAAAATTAAATCTTGTCGATATATAATAGTATCAAGATAGTCATTGCATCGAAAAGCAATAGGCTTTAGGAAGACTGAAGGCCCGTTTTAGTTCGTTGATTAAGGTTTTTAATTTAAGTTGAGATGTGACTTTATGTGAGATTTTTTTACTATAGTAAAAAAGTTAGATGTGACTATTTTTGAGAGTTTTTTACTATAGCAAAACTCTAATTTTAAACTCAAATTGGTGAAATGAACAAGGCCTAATTTTATTTGAAATCAATAGGATTTACAACTCCTAGACAAGTTTATTACTTTTATAGGTTCTCATGTGAAGCAATATGCTTGTTGCATGAAATCCTTATATTTCTTTGGAAAATTCATTTATTTGCTTTGCTTATGCATTTTCAGGATCTAAAGTGGTTGTTCTAGTCCAAAACAAAGGAGAAAGCAATTTAAAGGCCAATATTTCAGTAGAAAATATTCCTGAGGAGCTAAAGGTACCTAAAAAACAAAGTAAAATGGTAAGGATCATAACTTTGCAGCTCTTTTTATGATTTCTTTGATTTAAGAAGTGTTTACTTGATTTTGTTTGAAAGTTAAAAGGAATTTAAATTTCAAGAAGCTAAATTTGGATTGATAATTTATGCTGCGTTTGGTTCAAGGATTCGTGCCATGATTCGAATCATGGTTCGTGGCTCGATACATTATTTTCTCTCACAAAAAATACACATAAATTGAGAATGATTCTGAATCCATCAACAAAACGTTAGTGATACGTAATCACAGGTAAAGATTCAATTATGCAAGAATTATTGTATTGAACAAACAATCGGAAGAACTCAATGAGAATCTTTCCGAACACTCTACACGCACACGGAGGTTTTCGAGAGACCTCGACTCTCCAATTTCTTCTCAATATAATTCTCTAACCGACTCCCTTCTGCTTCCACTCCTATATTTCCCCTTATTTCCCCCCAAAACAGTTACTCCTACATCCCACTCATTCTACAATAGGCAGCCCTCCCACAGAATCCCCATTCTGCCCCTGCCTTTTATTTCTCCTCACGTAAGTAAAATGCACTGGTGGCCTAACATTACCCGCCGCCCAAACCTCCACCGCACCCCCACTGCCCTCCTTAGGCTGGCGAACTCCTAACACCGCTGCTGGTTCCATCAACAATTCCATGTCTGCGGTAAGCTGAGTAGGAAGCTCCTGAGAGGCCTCAGCAGATCCCAAACAACGCTTGAGTGGGGAAACATGGAAAACCGGGTGAATACAGGCTGACTCTAGCAGCCGCAAACGGTAAGCCACCTTACCAATCCGCTGTGTCACCTCATAAGGGCCAAAGAAACGGGGAGCCAACTTCTCATTTCTGCGACGAGACAACGACAGTTGCCGGTAAGGACGCAATTTGAGAAACACCAAGTCACCCACCAAAAACTCAACATCCCGCCTCTTGCCATCGGCAACACCCTTCATCTTGTCCTGTGCCCGTAACAAGTGTAATTTTAGTTCATCCAAAGCAGCATCTCGGTCCTCCAACTTACGTTCAAGCGATGCCACCGTTGTCTTACCAGAACCAAACCGGATCAAGGGTGGAGGATCTTGGCCATACACCACACGAAAGGGTGTAGTATGAGCTGCAGAATGGTACGGTGTATTATACCAGTATTCAGCCCAAGCCAGCCAACGCATCCATTGGCGAGGTTTGTCAGACGCAAAACAACGTAAATACGTCTCGACACATCGGTTGACCACCTCTGACTGTCCGTCCGTCTGAGGGTGATATGCAATACTACGCTCGAGTGATGTCCTGTGCAGACGAAACAACTCAGTCCAGAAACCGCTTAAGAAAATCTTGTCGCGGTCTAACACAATGGAACGAGGAATCCCATGCAAGCGAACCACCTCCCGCATGAACAAATGGGCCACCACCAGGGCTGTAAAAGGGTGACGAAGTGCCAAGAAATGGGCATACTTACTCAATCTATCCACCACGACCAATATAGTATCATAGCCTTCAGACTTAGGAAGGCCTTCAATAAAATCCATGGACAAATCCTCCCAAATCTGATCCGGAATTGGGAGAGGTTGCAAAAGCCCCGCGGGTAACAAATTGGAGTGCTTGTTGCGCTGACAAACCGTACAGCGACTAACATACTCCTTAATTTCCTTGTAACATACCCACCCAATACCAAGAGGAGGCTAAGCGACGGTAAGTCTTGAACACCCCCGAATGCCCGCCAACCGGGCCATCATGCGCCTCCTTTAATAGGGTGGCCACAAACGGAGAAGACTTGGCAAGGACTGGCCGGCCTTTGTACAAAAGCCGACCCTGCTCCAACGAAAAACCAGGATAGCTGGTGTCCCCGTGTAGCAAAGCCTAATAAACTCCCCACAGCCGGGAATCCGACAACACTTGCTGCTGTAGCTCCCCATAGTCCAAACCCTGTACAAACGATAACGTGCATAAAGAGGGCATCCCTTCCACGTGAGAAAGCGCATTAGCGGCCTTGTTTTCTATCCCCGGCCAGTATTGAATGTCAAAGTCATACCCCAACAATTTAGTAACCCATTTTTGGTGCTCAGTACTGATCAGTCGCTGTTCTAACAGAAATTTCAAGCTCTGTAGGTCAGTGCGAACGATAAAACGCCTTCCAAGCAAATAAGGTCGCCATTTCTGCACGGCCAAGACGATTGCCATCAGCTCTCGCTCGTAAATTGAACGTGCCCTGCCTCAAGAGGATAAAACATGGCTGTAAAAGGCAATTGGACGGCCATTCTGCATTAGCACTGCTCCTAGCCCATGACCGGAAGCATCCGTCTCAACCACAAAGGGCTGAGAGAAATCCGGTAAAGCCAACACCGGACTGTAGTCATAGCCTTCTTCAAGGCCACAAACAACTCCTCCGCCGCTTGATTCCACCCAAACTGATCTTTTTTGAGTTGATCAGTCAAAGGATTATCCACCATCCTATAATTCTTGACAAACTTACGGTAATAACCGGTGAGACCCAAGAAACCCCGCAACTCCCGCAGTGTTTTGGGTGCTGGCCACTTCAACATTGCTTCAATCTTCCTCTCATCAGCCGCCACTCCCTCTGCTGAAATAATGTGCCCCAGATACTCCAGTGAAGACTGGCCAAAGCAACATTTTTTGTCATTAACTCTTAAACTATGCTGCTGCAGCAACTCAAAGACTTGAAACAAGTGCTCCACGTGCTCTCCCAAGGTCGAGCTATAAATCAAGATGTCGTCAAAAAACACCAACACAAACTTCCGCAGGAAGCACTTAAACACTTCATTCATTAGAGCCTGAAAAGTGGCAGGCACGTTTGTCAAACCAAACGGCATTACCAAAAATTCATAGTGCCCTTCGTGGGTTCTAAATGCTGTTTTGGGCACATCTTCGGTGCGCACCCTAATTTGGTGATATCCCGAACGAAGATCCAACTTTGAAAAGATCTTCGCCCCATGCAACTCATCCAATAATTCGTCTATTACCGGAATAGGGAACCGGTCGGGGACGGTAGCGCGATTCAAAGCTTTATAATCCACACAGAAACGCCAACTCCCGTCCTTTTTCTTAACCAACAGTACCGGACTTGAATAAGGGCTGGCACTAGGTTGAATGATGCCCGCTTGTAACATTTAATTAACCAAGCGTTCAATCTCATCTTTCTGCACCCGTGGATAACGATACGGTCGCACCCTAATCGGAGTCGTTCCTTCTTGAAGCACAATCGCATGATCTCGAGCCCGAGTAGGCGGTAATCCTTGCAGTTTCTCAAAAACAGCAGCAAACTGCTTCAGTACCTGTGTAATCTCCTTTGGAATTCGTGTTTGCTTCCCTTCCCCCACAACCTGTACACAACCCAACTCCACCAAGATACCCTCTCCTGCTTTCATGAGCGTTTTCAGCATGGACTTCAAGGAAACCAATGTCCTACTGAGACTCGAATCCCCCTGCAATGTAACCGTCGTCTCTCCCACCTTGAATTTCATTGTTAAGGTCTGCCAATTAACATTCATATTGCCAAGGGATCCTAACCATTGCATGCCCATTATGACATCCGAACTACCCAGCTCAAGGGGCAAAAAATCCTCAACCACCTCCACCCCTTGCAATCCCAACACTAATCCCTTGCAAAGCCCACTCCCCTTCACAGCCTTTCTTGTTCCCATAATCACCCCATATTCTTGGGTTGTAACCAACGGCAGGCCCAACTTCCTCACCAATTCCATGGAAATAAAATTGTGGGTGGCTCCTGAGTCAATGAGCACAACCACCTCCTGGCTCCCAACTAACCCCCTTAACTTCATGGTTTTCGGAGTGGTAATTCCCACCACTGAATTCAAAGAAAGTTCCACTACCTCTTCCTCATTCACTACTGTAATTTCTTCCTATTCATTTTGATTAACTTCCTCTTCCTCTTCTAAAATCAAAATATACAATTCTTTATTCTTACAAACATGCCCAAAGTAATATTTTTCATCACATTTAAAACAGATGCCTTTTTCTCGTCTTTTCTGGATTTCAGCCTCAGAAAAACGCCTAACAAAAGGCATACCTGTTGGCTGAAACGACTTGTCGTTTTGGGAAGGGCCATACGACTTGTCGTTTGTCATGGCGGACTTGAGGATATTTGTGGATTGACTTCGAAACGACTGGGTATAAGGCTATTGTCGCATCCATGGGCTGTTTGTCGTTCCCTTAGCCCCTTTCAAGGCCAAATTTCGATCCTTGACCCTCTGCGCCAGTTTGATAATCCGATTCAACCCGCTCGGCTGAAGCAGGCGAATTTCCGCCCTAATCTCCGGTTTGAGACCTTTGATGAAGTTTCCCTCAAGGATCACCGTCAGAATCTTTGTCAAAGGTGCGGCCAGCATCTCGAAATCCCAGATATACGCGCGCACTGTCCCTTCCTGCCGGAGAGCAAGGAACTTCTCACAGTTCGACCCCTCCTGCGACGGTCGAAAACGGTCTAGCAACAACTTTTTGAACTCCAACCAGTCGCGTATGGGTCGGCGCCCGTCCGTCCACTGAAACCAAGCTAGAGCTTTGCCATCGAGACTAATTGCCGCCGCCTCCAATTTCTCCTTTTCTCCCATGCGATTTAGGGCAAAGAATCACTCAGCACGGAAAATCCAGCTATCTGGATTTGTGCCTTAAAAAATCGGCATTTCTATTCGCCTCGTCATCCCTCCCAACCGGAATTCTCCTTCCCAGTGCTCATACGCCGGTCCGCCTCCGCTCCCATTCTCGGCCCTAGTCTCCCGTACTCCGAATCCTCTCCTCCTTGTTTCTCTGCATCAACGAGTCTAGTTTTCCCAGAATCAACGCCTCGTTCTTCTCTAATGCAGGAATCTTCTACAAATCATCCTTAACTCCTTCCATTTCCTTCGAAATTCCCTCCCAAACAGCACTCAGTTGTTCTTCCACGGTACCCAATCTTTCCTCCATTTTCCTGGCAGCCATCACGAATCACGCAAGATCGACTCTCTGATACCAATTTGATACGTAATCACAGGTAAAGATTCAATTATGCAAGAATTATTGTATTGAACAAACAATCGGAAGAACTCAATGAGAATCTTTCCGAACACTCTACACGCACACAGAGGTTTTTGAGAGATCTCGACTCTCCAATTTCTTCTCAACATAATTCTCAACCGACTCCCTTCTGCTTCCACTCCTATATATCCCCTTATTTCCCCCCAAAACAGTTACTCCTACATCCCACTCATTCTACAATAGGCAGCCCTCCCACAGAATTCCCATTCTGCCCCTGCCTTTTATTTCTCCTCACGTAAGTAAAATGCACCAGTGGCCTATCAGTTAGTTTGACCATCAGGTGGAAGCAAGGTTTTAAAAGGTAGAATCGGGCTCGAGGCGTTTTGCCTTTACGAGGCGAGGCGTTAGCCTCAAAAAATGCCAATAAAAAAATTGAAAAAAAAATAATATTAATAAAAACTAAATCCGTACTCAATCATTAAAAATAGTTGTAGAGGCATAAAAAAGACTAAATAGTTGTCAAATCCTAATATTATAAGGTTTATAAAGCACTTTTAAAAGTCTAGATCTCCCAACTGATCAATCACCATCACTACTAAGAGAAGCATCAACCAATTTAAATATCTCATTGTCCACAAATTCTTGACTGCCAGTGTCAGAATCATAGTCTATTCACTCCTATTCTTCATTCTCTTGCACGGTCCCCTTGCCTCTATCACCTAATAATCAAAATTATACCCAAGTTACTAATTACTATCTCTAATATGAAAATTGCAGTAAAAAATAGATAAGACAACTAATAATTCACAAGACATATCAGACCACTAACCTGTCCTCTTCTTTTTAGAACCTTTTTGAGCTCTTGTACTAACACTAGTACCTTCTCCATCGTCAAAAAAAAAAACTCTTGAAGAGTTGAACAACAATGCCCAGTTAAAGAAACCAAGTCAAGAGAAGAGATTGGAATAGATACCTCACTTGAAGGCCGTGTTTGGAGTTGGTTTTGTTTTTGGGTGCGTGAGTGTGTGTCTACACCTGAGGTTCGAATCTTGATGATTTCATTTCTTGTGTAAAGTAGGAGCCATAGCCCCACATCCTACCCAAAAAAAAAAAAAAAAGGGGGTTAGAAAAAACGAATATAAAGTAGGAGCATAGAAAGATTGTTTTTCTAGTTTTCGTATTTTCCATTTATTGTATACCTAGCTGGTCATTAGGTTTTTGAACCTTTTGTAGGGTTTTCATCTGTAATTACATTATGAGTCAACATGAATAATCCAAGAAAATATACTTATTTAGTTCTAGATTTTCGTTTTTTTATATCTACAGAACCATTTTAGCATTCGTTAGAAGTAGAATCGCTCCATTAATCTTGTTGTTTCAATTTCAGATTTCTAAATTTCTTACTAATGGGAAAAATGCCAACATTATATTGTGTCGTGGAAAAGATGAATGTGTGGTTCATTTGCACTCTACTGTATCTGAAGAAATCTCTTTCTTGAGATTCCCTTCATACGACAAGCTGGTGACTCCAGTGAATGGTGCCTACTTTTTAATCCTTGCGGCACTGATCTTTGGAGGGACATGGACGTGCATCAAGTTTAGCAGGAGGAAACGGCAGGGCGGTGGGATCCCATATCAAGAGCTTGAAATGGCATTGCCTGAATCTGTTTCAGCTGCGGATGTGGAAACGGCTGAAGGTTGGGATCAGGGTTGGGATGATGACTGGGATGATGATAGTGCAGTGAAGTCGCCTGGGGCACGTCATGTAGGAAGCATTTCTGCGAATGGCCTTACTTCGAGGTCTCCGAACAAAGATGGATGGGAAGACAACTGGGACGATTAGTATAATAGACCACCGGCGTTACTTTTAATTGGTGATGGAAGCTGATCTGGGGGAATGAAGAGATAAAAGGGATAGAAACACACACACACACACACACACACAAAGAAAAGGAAAATGAGAAAAAGGATATTTAAGTTGAGGACATCAAATGTAAATCTTTCTCTCACTCGCCTTGTTAGACGCTAGTGTTTGTCGTGTAAGACTGAGAGCCCAGGGATAAAAGGAGTCTGTAGATGGGGTTGGTTTGACAAAATAACGGAGCGGTAGTATACTTCTTTTAGTTTATTATTATTGTTGTAAAATATGTTGATTCTTTATTATTATTTGCTCAGTCTTAATTCCTTCTGTTTAAATTTGGTGATCCTTTGGGGGAAGAGAGATACGATACCAGTTTCTTGGTTTGTCTGCCCATGTCATTCGCATTGTTGTCCAATTGCATCGCCGTCTTTAGAAATTGTTCACAATTATTATTGTTCGCTTCACCGCCATTTTAGGTTTTTTTATGTTGACAATCATTGTTGTTCGCTTTACCGCCATTTTATGTTACTGTATCATTCATGCTAATCATGTTTGATCATCTTCTCTTGTAATATCGTCAGATGTGTTTGGAAGATGGATTGAATTTAAAAAATGCTGATACAGTATTTCTTTTTATAAAATTTAAGAGTTCGTTTATTTTATGCGTTTAAACTCATAATTTTATTTTTATTAGAGTATTTTTTCTTATAAAAAATTTAAATTTTAAATGTCAGAATTAAAAATAAGTAATATCAAACGTATAAACTAACCGGGTCCGAATTTTGAGCCAAATTACCTAATTTAAACCCACCTTTTAAACGAGCTAGTTATCTTTTGTTATGTGTCTTCCTTTCTTGGGGCAGTAACACCTGAGGTCTTATCAAGCAGGTACAACTGAGGTCGGGTCTAGATCTTAGATTTTTTAAAATAATAAAATAATGGGTTAATTTTAATAAT